CTAATCACTTAAATGTTTCTTCTGACTGTCAGTTGTTGTGTCACACTCACATGCTGATCAGTATCTGTCTCTCCCTGTAGTTGTCTCCTCTTGCTGTAGCCCTGTGAACTCTCCCCAGCTTGGTGTCCCTGGACTATCAACACCATCTCCTCAACTCACTAGACTCCACTCAGGTTTCCCCTTTCTGTGTCATGACCTGGGTTCTCCTAATGCAGTAGGCTGGCACAAGTGTTGAGCTCATGGCAATTGTTCCTCATCTTTTAGGAATTAATGTCCTTTGCTGCCTGATGTCCAGTGTCTTAAAATGTTGTTTCAATTATTTTGTCTGTTTTTTCTTTTTCGTTGCTTCAGTTGGAAGGGTTAAGCTGATACCTATAAACCTATCATGGCTGGATGTGAAAATCATTTTTTTTAATGGTAAAATAGATAATGAAATAAATTTTTTAAATTACCTATGGAGGAAGGTAATAACAGCATGGATGAAACTGAGACAAAAACTAGAGTTCTCTGAATAGACCCTATTTGATGAATTGACTTTGGTTCTTATCAGTAACAAAACAAAATAAAACAAAAATTTTTGAAAGCAATGCCTAAAAACTGAAAGCAAAAATGAAATAATTAAACTAACTGTATGTCAAGCTGTTGGCAGGACCACAGAAAGGAATTATTTCAAACACATGCTAATGGGATACAGCTTAAAGACAAAAGAACTATAAAACATTCTTTAAATATTTCAATAACATACTGATAAATATTGTAAAATAGGGTCAATGATTATGTTGCTATCACTGAAAACTGGGTTTTCCAGCATTGAAGACAGAAGATACAAATGTAAGATAGATTAAGTGAAGTAAAAATCTCTCTGACTTCCTAAATTTTAATTGGAAGCATCCATATGACATTATGATGAATATCTGCATTTAAAAACCCCACAGATTTCCTAACTTTGTCCTCTGTAAAGTCCTGGAAATGATAGCCAAGTCAAAAGTAATAAGCAAGCATAGCACCTAGAATGTAATATTTAAATACCATTTCCCATTAAAAGGAACAAGGGTTTCTTAAAGAAACAGTTCCTTCTAGATCTGGGCAAAAAATGTACAAGATGAATTTGGAACATTCTGTCATACTAGAAAGCAATGAAGGTGGCAATGACCACGAGCTAGTGTCAGAAGGGCCCAGGAGACAAGCTGAAGAGGCTCCTCTGAGCCAAAAATGGGAGAAACTGATCATCAATAAGAATGCTTACTATTCTCCACTGGACTGAAATACTGTGTACCAACTATTTTTAAAATCATAATGATTCTTAGAAAACAGACCAAAAAACCTCCTTTAAAGATTATTGGATGATGCTAGGAATACTGACTTGTCAAACTCATCATTTTGTGAACTGTTTAAATGATGATAAAGAGTCAAACATTTACCCTGCCCTCGCTGTACAAACCAGCGTCAGTATAATTCATGATCAGGAGAGCTGATCATGAGTTTCTCTCTGCAGAAGTATCCCACCCTGTAATTGAAGAAGGAACACCATAATCAGAGGATCACTGTTTTGTAACCTATACTACATTAACAGATTTAGTCAATATTATTAATTAGTAACAGTAAAAAAAAAAAAAAAAGGAAGGACACTGAGATATTAAATGCCTCCTCATGAAGTATACAACATCTCCTGTTAAGTGTTCTTGTCAAATAAAATTAAATTTAAATTTTGACAAAGGATACAACTACCAATTCCCAGGAAATATAAAGAACCAGAGAAAACATGCATTACGGGGAATATGTGGTTAGTAAAATCTAGACCATGCTATACCCCAGAAGCCAAGCAGAACTATTCCTTCAATGAATACACTGCAACAACAACAAAAGATACAGCAACTGGTATGAGACTTCCCCTCCCATTAAAAGCAACTAGACAAAATATAGTTGTCTAGTAAGTGACACAGGGAACAGGAAAGAAGCCCGACAACCACCCAGCTTTCTATTCGGAGGTACTTTCTTGACATCAGTGCAAGAACGGGGAACACAGGAAGAGTATACCACTCTTGTCGAGAAAGCAGAGATCAGAGTTTGGGGAGAATGAGGTACCTGCAATAAGATCGATGCTATAAATGAAGAGAGTTACAGAAATCAGCAAGATGGACTCTTCAAGCCTTGGCAGAATTCTACACAGCAAGTGTAGGGTAAGATTCTGTGAGGACGAGCAAAGAACAACTAAAGGAAAAAAGAACTGAAGCTAAACAATTCCCAGAGTTTCCACAGGGCTGGGAAACATCTGTATTCCAGTTAGTCAAAGTAAAAAGACACACCAAAAAAGTATGGGCAATAAGCACATAGAAAAGTGCTCTGCATCATTAATCATCAGAAGATACAATTAAAACCACAAAAACATACCCACCAGACTGGCTAAAACTCAAGACTGATCATACCAATATGTTACAACATTTGAACTTCAACAAGATCCTGATTGAACAAGAACAATTTTTCAATTTATTTCATTATGAATGTATTTAGTGCCACTTAACTATATACTTAATAATGGTTAAGATGGTAAATTTTATGTTATGTGTATTTTACCACCATAACAACAATTGAAGAAAAACAGGAGGAGCGAGGATTTTGGTTGTGCCAAATAGTGAGTGATAGCAGCAATTACTGAATTGGGTGATGGGGACCACAGGTTCTTTGCTCTGGTATATGAGAAATTTCCATAATTAACACATAACTTCAAATATTTAAAGTATTACTACATAAAAGAGAAATTAGACTCTATAGAAGAAATAATGTGGGGGAAAATTGGGAGTTAATATAAAAATGAACTAGCCAAGGGAAGAAGGGGTACCCTCGCAAGGCAGGTAGTTGATACTAGGAATCGTTGACACAAAAGCCGCAGGTGTCAGAGCTGCAGCAGAGGAAATCAGTGCCGTTAGTGGTAAGTTGGACTAGGAGGCTTCTACGGTGTCTTCCAAACCTGAGGATTCTACTGACTATCCACCAACCATTAATCTATGAATCTCACCTCTGGGGCAGTTTTCCCATTAAAGTTAGCACTTCATTACTCCTGAGCTGTATCAAATAATTATCTATACAACTTATCTGACACTTCACATAAACTATTTCATGTAATCTCCATTTTCCTGCAATTTTCAATATATTTGATAAGCCCTCTTCTTAAAGCCCTTTAAAAAATCAGAATTGTGCTTTATGCTCTTGAATTCTTTTATTCCTATCACAATGCTCTGTACATACCTGGGCATGAGAATGCTTTTCTGAAAATCCCTGTGAAGTCTGTAATACTGCAGCCTTCTATCTTGCCATTCGTGTCTGTGTCTTCCCCCATTATGCCCCAATCATGGGACACACCCTACACCACACCTGTGTGCCCTTACCCAGGCCTAGAAATGGGGTAGATGAATATCTAGAAATATGGTGAATAAAGAGTTTCTTCCACATCTAGGGCTGTTAAATTTTTCGAGTGATGATGATTCATTCTGATAATCAAATTCTGAATCCTGAGAATGCTGTAATTATGGAAAATTTCACTACATCTTCACCCAGGTGGCTGTCACCACCACAACCATGGGGAAAAGTGAAAAATAGTTTGGCTTTCCTACATCTTTCCTATCCTGGTGACCCTTCTCCTGAATCCCCCAGACGTCCAATGTCTTTACGTGCTCTCTGTCCACCCAAATGAGAACAAGGCAGAGGGCCAGACACTACAAAACACCAGCTGCTACATCAGACTTCACATCATCAGGCCATTTAATTCTGACAACTAAAGTAGGTGTTGTCTACATTTTTCAGATGAGAAAACTGAGGTTTAGTTTAGTAACATGCTAGACTTCTACATGAGGACTTTGGGATTTAAAACCAGATCATCCTGGCTCAAAACCCATGCATATTACAGAACAACAACAAAACAATAAACTCTCTTCCTCTGCAAGTCCTGAAATGAACAGAACCTAGAAAAAACTACTTTTGTTAAGAAGGACACTTTCTCCATAGCTCTAAAGGGCAATTCGGGCTGGAATTTCTGAAAGCTTGCTTACTCATTCCTATAATGAACCCTCTCCCCCCAGGCTCCCCCACATCCCAGCAAAAAAAAAAAAAAAATCCAATTTCAAAAAGTACCACAAGGGGGAGCTAAATCTTAAAAAAACTTAGATAAGATAATCGGCCAGGTGAATCAGATGTCTCATTTGGATCATGACTCTTCAGAAAGATCTGAATAAATATCCTGCCATAAGTGACTTTTTCCAAGAAACAGATCTGACCACTCCCTTTCCTGCATAAAACCGTCCCAGGATCCCCACTGTTCACGTCTGACATCGCTTATTATGCACAACTTCCCTTCTGACTGGCCCCTGCTCCCCTCCAACAGATGGGCCAGTCTGACCCCACACTGTGAGCACAGCCAAGACTCCACTTCCCTGGCTTCCTCAAGTGCCCTTCCTGCACACCTGTTTCTCTGAACATGTTATTGCTTCTGTCTGACCACATGCGCTCACTACTCCCATCCCCACTGCCCCCTCCCCTGCCCTTCTATTCAACAAACTGTGCTGTAAGCTCCCACAAGTCCTCCAACTCTGTTAGACCATGTCTCATCTGACTTCGGGCCTTTCCTATCATGCTCCCACCACGGCAAACCACCACAGGCCACATACTGGTCTACCGTGGGGTAAATAATCCCCTTCCTGCCCGAATCATATTATATCAAGTGAAGAGCTTTACCACACAGCTAAACAGAAAGGTCCCTGAAAGGAAGAACCATGCTGTCCACGTCTGCACATGGCCAGCCCTGGCTGCAGCAAATCCTCCTCACGTGCTGAGTTGAGAACCCACTTAACAGTCAGACATCCCTGTGGCTCCTTTCAGGGGCTACCTTCAAAGGATAAGGAGCTAGTTCCACAAAAACATTTCAAGTTCTTCACCTCATGTTCAAAATCAACTTAAAAACTGTAATAATCAACCTGCTAGTTAAAGAAATCACGTGTCAAACTTACCGATTTAGTTAAATAAAACAGGAATGAATATACTAGAAAGACTGCATTTTCCAACGGTGTAACCACTGCTGTCTCTTCAGCATCTATCTCCAGTTGCTTTTTCGCATCAACAGCATTGGCAGGAGTGCCTTCTGTTGTAATCACCCCTAAAATTGATTACATGAGGAGGAAAATAAATATTTCATGCTTTAGAGTAAGAATTCATTTTAAATATTTATTAAATATCCACTAGCCACTGTGCCTGGAATACATGGCTACAAAACAATTGTACAGAGAAAAAAATTCAGAATACCAATTAGAGCCAACATACTTTCAATTATAAAATGGACTCATCTCCAACCCACGCTAGGCCCGGAGTCTCAGAAAGGAGGTGGACTGCTTGCCTCTAAGTTCTGTTCTAACCCTAAGATTCCATTCACTATGTGAATGCAGCTCCTGGTAAAGTTTCCCCATTTATGTCAGCATCTCAGTCCCTCAGATGCATTAAGGGACGTTTGGGAAGATCTGACCGTAGAAAAGGCCATTTTGTGGTATAACTTAAATGACGGGACAAAAAACTGTTAATTCTGTAAGCAGAATTTTCCCTAACTTTGAAAATTACTGAGAATAGAGTAACAAGTGTATATGATACATGACTCATATTCAACAAGCAGAATCTTTTTGAGTGAAAGGAGTTTAGAAGTATATATATTCATTATACGTGAATGCAATGTCCTCTGGAACATGGGAAACAGCTAAAATGTCTCAAAAATTGGTGGAATGCTTCTACATGCTGTGACTTCTCTTATACTCCGTGCGTTTGTTCTGGGGGGAACGTGTCAAGACAGGGCTGCCACGCCCTGCAGCGTCCAGACCAGAGTCCTTAAAATCACAAAATGGTAAAGACATCATCACGTCACCATCACCATTTTGGACTGACAAAATAACACAATTAGCTGTTCTGATCTACTTGTAAAATCCACTACTACAAAAATTAAAAAGCTGCTGATACAGGAGGGTTTGGTTTTTTCAACAATTTTTGAAAACATTTTCTCATCTCCCAATAGATATTTACTGTGTGCCATGCGTGAGAAGGAACTCCTCACAAATGCTGGTCTACACTGGGTTATTACACACTGCAAAGTCCTGTACGGGCTCCTGTAAGCTAAACACGCCTGGACTCCTTCACTGGGTTTTACAAAGTTTTATTTACTGTCTCCAAATAGCAAATAAAAATAAGAACTACATAGTACTGTCTTCTATTTAGAGAAAAGGAGAGAAAAATACAGAATTTGTGAGTTTTAGAGCAGTGTTTCTCCAATTCTAACTTGCATCAGAGGGCTCGTTGAAACAGATTGCTGGTCCCACCCCTAGAGATCCTGATGCTATTGGTCTGGTTGAAAACTACTATTTTAAAGTGTAAGGGCTGTTAATAACATATTAGATTAAAATAATGCATACAAGATAGTGACAGCCAAGCATTGGTTTGTAGGTTAGTTATAGTCTCTGGCCTCTTTTCAATATGTATCTTTTTCTTTTTAGAGACAAGGTCTGGCTCTGTTACCCAGGCTGCAGTGCAGTGGTACGAGCATAGCTTGCTGCAGCCTCGAGCTGCTGGGCTCAAGTGATCCTTCCACCTCAGCCTCCCAACTAGCTGGGACTACAGAGGTGCACCACCACTCCCAGCTAATTTGTCTATTTTTTGTAGAGATAAGGTCTTGCTATGCAGCTCGAGGTGGTCTGGAAATCTTGGCCTCCAATGATCCTCCCACGTCAGCCTCCCAAAGCACAGGGATTATAGGCATAAGCCGCCACACCCGGCCTCTCCATCTGTCTTGACTCCCACCTTTCTCTCAATTCGTTCTGGCATCTTTTTTCCCTTCAATTTGTACATATCTGTATTATTCTCCCCTCTATTTCCTATCTTTGGCGACAAATCTCCTACAAGGTCTTCCATGTGATTATGTTGCCACTCTGTAGAAAAAAATCAGCAAGGTTTACCTGGGTCCAAGTCTTTCTCAGTATTCAACGTCTGTGACACTTCTGCGGCCCCCACGTCCCCCGTCAGGAGCTGGTCCAAGGAGGCGTGCTCTTCAGGAACCTGCATATGAAGTTCGTCCACATTCTCTTGAGAGAAATTATCTTCATGGGGTGGCTTCATCTCTGCAAGTGACAGGAAAGCACAGGCTGGCACAGCTCACAGATACTGCCCATCAGCTAACTCCTTATACGGGGCCAGGGCACCTCGGTGCTGCCCTCCACCCCGAGTGGACAGCCCGTGGGGTGCAACTGGGCAGAGAAATAAGAGTGTCAGTGTCTTTCATCCCACTTGAAGAATGACCGATCTACAAAATAAAATTTACTAAAAAGTATTTCATAAGTCAGCATGTCTATGGTAGGGACTTTAATTAAACTTAACTTCCCTTGGCAAACTGACATATGCCCACACGAATAAATGTGCGAGTGTCAAGAGCAGAAATGTGAAACACAGAAAAAACACGAACTCCTTCAGACATGCTTTTCCCAGAGCTAGTATAGGAGAGGGCATTCCATGTCAAGGCAACTTGCCGAAGTGCCTTTCAAATACTTTCTCAGTACCTCTAAGAGTTAAAGGAAGCAAACCTATCTCCTTCCCCCAGAGGTTTAGTCCAATATGACCCATAGCAAAGATGAGTTTCTTTGCAGCCTCATATCTCACCCTGAAAATTCATTTGAATTTTGCATTCTTATCCAAAATATATCTGCTTTGGTTAAATGCAAAAACACTTCCCTGCACTAACTTCTCAGGAAAAATTAGCACTCTGGGGAGATGAATTTTCCTGTGGCTTTATGTCACCCTGGTACTCTACCACACACCCTCAGTTCAAACACATCTGTTTAAAAAGCCTGGGTACAGACAATAGAACATGAAACTAGGAATTGGAAAGTTTATGTCAGGATATTTGCTTGGGGCCAATTCAGCAAATATTTACAGAATGCCTTCTACTTGACAAGCACTGTATTAGAAAGCTCCTCTTCCTGATTCCCTGCTTGACTAATTTGAATGCAAGAACCTTACTTGGCAGGAGAGTTTAACTGGTGTGTGTGACTGCTCCCAAGAGGTAGGAAAGAACACACCATCCCCAAGAGATAATGCTGGGGAGAATGAAGGAACTCAGCAAGGCAGATTTGAAAGTCATGCCAGTCAATCCTTGGGTATAGAGCAGTTAACTTATGATGTAAAATCCGCATTCAACAAAGCCCTTCCATAATCTTACACAAAATCTGCCCTTTGTTAGCAGGTCTACATTGTGTATCATTTCTTTACTTATACTTTTCTCATTAGCTTTTTATAAAGTTTCCCTTTGAAAATCCTAACAGTCTCAATTGTCCTAAGCAAAAAAGTAAGGAATCCTCCCCGTGCTCCAGCCTAAAAGGAGGCAGGAAGGGAGGTGCGTGGGCCTCCTCCTGTTGCCCCTCTCCTTTAGACACACTGGAAACTGAACAGACCTTTACAAATGATATGAGGCACTTCAGCAAATTCCAACCCTCACCCCCTGCTTCTCCAGCCAGCTCTACAAGGCCACAGGCAGGTACCTTACCTTCCCCAGGTTTACCCCAGCCTTCCTGGAGAGGTGGTGCCACCACCAGTGGGGCTGTCTCCTCTTCTGTGGAGTGCCTGTACCTGACAAAATAGATCAGGTCTTGAACGTCATCTAGCACTGCAGCCTCTTCAAACACATTACTTTCCTTCATCCCCTGCTCTCTACTTTTGGTCACACGAGCATCGAGCATTTGCTCTGCTATGCTCAAAATCTGTGACTCAGAAGCACGGAAGACTTTATCTAGGACTTTTTCCACGTTGTAGGGCAGGCTCTCCCGCTGTGCTGACTTCAGCTTTAATGACATTTCTTGGAGCATGGCTTCCAGCTCGTGGACATCAAAGTACTTCTGGAATCGCTGCAGAGACTGCTGCTCTTTAAAGAAGGTATTTATTATAGGCAAGTCCTCCCTCTTGTCTCTGTGCTTGGGCTCTACAGTTGTATGTGGAGCCCAGTGGAATGGGTCATCATCAAGTTCTTCAGAAGCAGATCCCTGGCTTTCAGTGTCCAAGAATTTTTCTATGTCCTCATGGTCCTCTTTGGAGGGTTCTTCTCCCCCAGGCTTCTCTGCAAGCTCTGGGGTCTTCAGACGTTCCTCAGGGGTCTCTCGTTTCAGATAATCAGGATCATTCTTCTGAAACACTTCACCTAACTCTGGAGTCCAAGTTTTCACCTGGTCAGGAAAGTCACTCGTGTCAGACGGCATCTGTGCTTTCTCATCTACCAGGGGGTGATCGTCCTTTTCTACCGCCATCCCAGCTGGTTCCCCGCCTACCGTGTCAATGCCTTCGCCTGCAGTTTCATTTTTGTTTTCTCGACCCAACATATTAGCTTCTTGCTTGTTTTCATCGATTTCTGGATCAGCATCAGTGGTCCCTAAAAATGCTGTTTCAGGGACTTGCAGATTAACTTCTAACTGCCTGTCCTGAACCCCAGGGTTTCTGTCTTTAGCTTGTTTTGCACTTTGAGCGTTTTCATCCTCCAGCAGTTCTTCAGGGAGATAATCCTCCTCCTCTGCTTCTGGCTTTTCAGCGTAGAAGCCTGGCCCTCCCACCCCAGCAGCTTGGCCTGCTTCTCCTGGCTCCTGTGTGCCCCGCACGGCCTTGTGATGCACAGACTCTTCCATAGTGGAGTCGTCTCCCACCTCTTCCTCAGAAAGCCTCTTCATCTCACTCAAGGGCTTAGGGACTGCCACAGCCATGTCTCTTTCTGGTGACCATGAAAGATTTCTTCCCGGAATGGGAACCTCTTCTTCTAGTTCTCTGGGCAAACGAATTTCACCTGGGGAGGAGAATCTTGGTTGATTGTGAGTTTTAAGAACTACATCCTCTTTAAATTCCTCACGCTGATGCTCCACTGAAAGTGTGTGTGGTTTCGGTCCATTTAACACAACATCTGCTTCCTCCACACTGTTTCTGGACACATTATGCTGATCATCTCCTACGAGTGGTACGAGACCCAAGGACTCCTGTTCAATCTTCTTTGCATTCATCTGACTCCCCACAGCTTTATGCACAGAGTCGCTCCCTGAGCCACCTTCGAAAATCTCTCCGGGCTTTTTTTCGGGGAGCATTCCTTTGGAGATATGAACAGCTGCACCTTCTAGGTCATTGTCTTTGTCATCAGAAGCTGACTGTAATATGTCTTTACCCTTTTCAGCAGCTGGCAAGGAGTTGAGATTATTGCTTTGCGTAGAACTGTGCACGGTCACCCCTTCCGGCTTTTCATCCTCTAACTCGATCTCATCTTGTACCAGGCCCCTCTCAGATTCCTGCCTCCCTTTTCCTTTAATGTCAAGTTCAGTGCCCACTTCTGAGCCTTTGTCATTACTTGTTTTAGGGACTTCTACAATCAGAAGACTGTCTTCCACATGTTCAGGGTCAGTGTATTCTGTTGCTGATTGTGGTTTCCCCTGTTCGGTACCTGGAACCAAGGAAACATCATCATCTTTTTCTTCCTCTGAATCAGAACTCTCTAAATCCATCACACCTGTTTTTTCTTCACCTCCAGTGACAATAGAAAAGATAGTATCCCCCCAGCTTGTTAGAATATCCATATCTTCCTTTTTGATGCCAGAGGGCACAGCTCCTTCAACCTTATCCTCTTTATTTGTATTCTGCTCTTTGTCTGTAGAATATTTCTCAACTCCAGATTTTACTGCAGTTTCCGTATCTTCTCCACTTTTGAAGGTTAGTAATGGCAGCTCATCAAAGTCTTCTAGATTCTCCTCTTCCTCCTTCTTGACTTCGTAATACTCAGCTTCCAATTCCTCATCAAAATCATCCTCTAATGAGGTAACGAGGCTGGTTGTCTCATCATCAGATACAAGTGCATCAGCAGTTGAGCCAAATTTGGTTTTCAAGTCCAGGGTCATTTCTTTTTTCAACAGTTTATAAGCATCCATCTTTTCCTGCTCCTTTGAAACCTGAGAACTATTGTTAGTTTTGTTGTTCTCATTTTCTGGCACTTGTAATTTCTCTTGCAGCACTTCTTTAAAAGGTTCAAATGAAGAATGCTCTCCCTGAGCGTCATCTGCTTGGCTGTTTGTGTGGGGGTGGTTCTTCTGAGTCATAAATTGTTCCTTGAGATCTTTAGTGTTTTCTGAGAACACACTTTCATTTTCCTCTGAGCTGACTTCTACTGGTTCAGGCTCACTTTCCTTAGATACTTCAGGAAGTTGATCCACATGCTGAGAAGTTTTTTCTACAGCTTTCTCAGAGTTTCCAGTTGCAGAATCATACAATTCCAAAAACCCTAAAAGATCTGCTACATTATAATTATCAAAATCATCTCTTCCTCCATCAAAACAGACAAAATCTGTTTCCTGTAAGGGAAAGAAAAACATTAGTATGTCACTAACCAGGTCACTAACTCTTACCCATGCTAATGATAGAGATAAGCTCAAACGCATGTTTGGCTCCAGAGGGGCATTTGTGTCAACCTTGGGCAATGATTGTTCTTGGGCAGTGAGGGGACAGGAGGCAGGAATGCACCTTCCCACCCAAGCACTACCACTGGCTTCCCTTCACTCTTTTCCCCAGGGAAGGAATGATTCATGTGGTTGCCGAAGTTTGCTTAGCTCCACCCTCTTTTCTGTTTGGTACCAGCCAAAAGGAAAATACACATTCTGTCCCTTCATGCTGTCAGTCTCATTTATTTATTTTTTAGCCAGCACTAAGTTTGAACCCACCACCTCCAGCATATGGGGCTGGCGCCCTACTCCTTTGAGCCACAGGCACCGCCCAGGCTGTCAGTTTTAGACGGCAATCCTACTTGGGGTGGCCCCCAGTCGACTCATTCAATCTGTGGCTGGGGTAAGTCTGTTTATTGTAGACTACAAATGTTAGAAAGCCTGTTCTTTCTGCACACTTGAATTCTACTCCCTAAACTGCTTTATCAGTAAATAATGGTGACATTTTATCTCTACCTGCCCAACTCCTGGATTCCTCAATTTGTTTTGGGCTCAGCTGGGGAAAAATGGGTTATCATTTATTGGGTTCCCAAGCCCTCAAGGCTTACGCCTGATGTCCTGGGCACTCACCTCTTAATGACCCTTCCAGAAGAAGCTGAGAGACGATCCAGCTCGTCTCCTCTGTGTCCTCTACGCTACACTTCCCTGCTCTCTCAGCTAGAAACAGGCAGACTCACCTGGCTGTCAGGTTCTAAGTGCATAAGGATTTTTGGCTCTTAATGTCCTTGGATTCGGGTATAGGTACCAGAAAAGTAAACATGTAAAGGGACAGAGAATGATGTCAAGAGGGCTCCCCACTTTGTTAGTACCACAGGAACAAACTGAAAACAGGATTCAGAAGGTATATATCTTACTTTAAATCAGTTCTAGGCAGTCACTAAGATCTGCTTTCAATACTCTTTCTCAACCTAAATTCTTTCTTTTCTCCATTGGTAAGCAAACTGGCATACCAAGAGTCATAAACTGAGGGAAAAGTTAAAAACCAACCAAGATAATTTTCCTCATAACTAAACTTTCACCCCTCTGTGAAGACCTAGCCAACATAGCAAAGGACGAACGATCTCCCCTCCCTGTCACATGCATCCTGAGCCAATCTCTCAATGCCAGATGCCACGAGAAGACAGAATCCAACCCAAGTCTCTGGAATTGTGTCTCACACTCCGTCTCACACTTAGATCTCAGGCAGCACCTTCCTCAGGAGTGAAGCCAAACAGGCAATAGGACTGACTTTATGGCCCCTGATATTATCAAGAAATTTTAAAAATAGCAAGAGCTCTGAGACTCCTCCATTCTGCCAATCACATCTAAGAACTGCCTGAGCCCAGCAGCTTGCACGCTCTGCAGCAACTCCAAAAATTTCTGAAGGAAGGTAAGCATCAATTACTATTAATTTTAAAATTCCAAAAAATTATAAGCTAAAATGAAGAGTCTAGAACACAAAATCCTTTTATTCACGAACCATTTTAAGTCAGTGCACCACAGATAAATGCTTTATCGAATCTGTAGTCGATGCCTTACAGATGTGAGACAGGACCTCACCTGAAACTCTCAGGTTCCCTTTCCCAAATCTATGACATTAACTATAATCCCTTAAGTAACTAGGGAGCCAACAGGAAGAAAATCTTCCCAAGTCTGCAGTTTTGGTCCAGTGCAAAATGAGTTCAATTAATTTTACATGATTTCTATATACTTAAAATGTCTAATAGCTATCCAATAAGCAGTTTTTCAAATCGACACTTTCTCCTTTTGCTTGTAAAATGATTTACCTCTTAAATTTAGTGACTACATACAAAGATAGTGAATTCTTATTTTTTCAGAGCAAAGAAATGTCCTGTATAGGAGTATACAGTAAGAACATCTGCTTTAATATATTAGATAACCATCAGATTAGGACATGGTCTCTTTTAAATTCTTTTCAAATTTTTCTTTCTTTTTTTAAGAAGTAATCATTCATAAGCCAATTTGTAACTAAGAACAAAAAAGAAATCCACAACTTACATCTGTTGGAATTTGTAGCTCTTCTTTGGTATACTCATGGACTACCTGGATTAAATCCTTTGGAAAATATCCAAAAATACGCCCAACCTATATGAAAGAATGGGCAAAAGGGGTAAATATCAATCCAATTCTGTATCAGGAACTATAAATGAAAGACATCTTAGTAGTGACAGGAAATATACAAATATATAGGTAGGTAGATAGAACAAAGAGAGACAGTTGCTATTATAATTACACTAAGATTATTATTCCAATAAAAATTAAATACAGATTATTACGCCGATGTTTCTAAAACCATTGACGTTTTCTCTTTATATTGATCCTGATTCCAAATACAAGCCACATAAAGTTAGAGCTTAAAAATAAATGGAAGATATGTATAAAAGAAGATTATTACACATTGTCTGATTAAACTGTGCAAATCAAAGTCGGTTAGAAATGCAATTCCAAATAACTTCTAGAACAAATTTGCTTGCACATTTCTTAGCATTGCTCATAAACCAGTACCTAAAAGTCTCTTAAACATAAACAACAGCCCTGTAGTAAGTAAAAAGGATACAAAATCTCTCAACTACATGAACACAACAACAAAAGGCACATATAGTTGACCCTTGAACAAAACATGGGTTGGGGTGCAGTTGAAAATCTACATGTAACTTTTGACTCCCCCAAAACGTAACTAGTAATAGCCTGTTCGCTGGAACCAGCCAGGGGTGAGGACCCTGCAGCCTCAAGGCCACGTGTGGTCCTCCAGATCCCCAAGTGCATTACCCCCAACCAAATCCAAACTTCACATACTAAATCCCTTTATTAAAAGTATTTATTCTTCAAAATTTGTATCCCATCATAAGGCCTCACTCGAGAATAGAGAAGTCCACTGTGGCCCCAAGGCCAGAGGTTCCCCCTGCCAGGAATAGTCAATTAACACATGTTTTTGTACATTATATATATTATATACTGTATTCCTGCAACAAAGTAAGCTAGAGAAAAGAAGTGTTATTAAGAAAATCCTAAGGAAGAGAAAATATATTTACTATTAAGTAGAAATAGATCAACATAAAGGTCTTCATGTCTGTCCTCCTCACACTGAGCTGGCTAAGGACGAGGAGGAAGGAGAGGCTGGTCTTGCTGTCTTAAGGTGGCAGAGGCAGAAGAGGTCAAGGAGGGAGAAGGGGAGAAGGAGAGGCAGGTACGCTCTAGGGAACTTTACAAAAACACAACGCAATTTCTGTCTGATTTTTTAAATTTTCATTTCTCTAAAAATGTTTCTGTATGTATGGCTCGGCACCCCGTAGCTCAGTGGGTAGGGCACTGGCCACATACATCAGGGCTAGTGGGTTCAAAACTGGCCTGGACCTGCTAAAAACAACGACAACAAAAAAATGGCAGGGTGTTGTGGCCGACACCTGTGGTCCCAGCTGTTTAGGAGGCTGAGGCAAGAGAATTGCTTAAGCCCAGGAGTTTGTGGCTGCTGTGAGCTGTGACATCAGAGCACTCTACTAAGGGTGACATAGTGAAACTCTAGTCTCTTAAAAAAAAAAAAAATTTTTTTTCTGTATAGTACCGATCTCTCTTCCACCATTTGCTCTATATTCATTGCTCGTATCATATAAGGGTCCAGGCCATAAAAGAGTCAAAAGCAGACTGGAACTAAAGAAACCCTTCTGCCCGTTTGTCTAATGTCACTCTGGTTTCTGACACTGTTTCTCCTACGACTCCTTCCTCGCCGCCTGGCACTGCTTTAGAAGCTCTCTTCTCCATCAAGTTGTGCCTGGTGGTTATTCGCTCTTAAACTTTTCCAAGCCCCATATCTTGAAAGCCTTCACTCCCACCTTTTTTTTCCACACCCACAATCACACAGTTTTCTCCACTGGTTCTGTCATAAATCCTGTGAAGCCATGCAGTGACTTCTAACCACAGTTTTCTTTCTTTCTTTCTTTCTTTTTTTTTTTTTTTGCATCCAAAATCTTTTTAATAAAACAGTAGGTTCCAGTGCTAGTTTTTGTAGCCTCGGCTGGACCGTCGGCCTCTGGCACGCTCAAACTTCCGGCCCTTGGAACGGACATAGGGTTTGGTATGGCTGTGCGGGGTTCCTGGGGCCTTGCCGAAATGCCGGTATACCTCCCGGCCCTTGTGAGGACCCGAAAGCAGGACGGTGAGGATTTTGGCCCCAGCCTTGAGGATTCGGGTGCGGGCCCGGCTACTCACGCGCAAAGCACACACCTTCAGTTTGGGCACTTCCTGAACCCGCACATCATCAGTTACGGTCCCCACAACCACAGCTGTTTTGTTTTCCTGGCCAGGAAGTTTCATCTTCCGGATCATCCGGGAAAGAGACAGTGGTGGCCGATTGGTGCGACTCATAAACAACCTCTTTAGCACAACCTGGTTGAAGGAAGAGTTAGTTCGTCTGGCCAGAAACCTGTACAACTTGACCAACAGCCTTAGGTAAATGTCCTGGCTCTTGGGCTCCTTGCGAGGAACCTTTCGGTCCTTGTTGTGGCGAATATCGACTCCCATGATGGCGACACCCTCTCAGCCAGGTCCGGAAAGACTAACCACAGTTTACTACACCAGGAATTTACTGGTTTGGGCTTGATGGCTTTCACAGCTTTTTTGATAACAATAATGGTCTCTTCAATGCTGTAATCTCGTCTGATTTTCAAGATGTGCTCTATCTGGGCTTTCTTCCACAATTAACAATCCTTTCCACAGAGTACCATGGGTACTTAAAGGGCTATGACAACCTAATACAGAGGCTGAATTAAAGACACTGTGTTTTTAGAGAATGTAGACCACTTTGATGCCTTTCGTGCTGAACTCATGGGGTTCTGGGTGACTAAGGTCACTGCTCCATATCAGAACTTTAAAAGGCAGTCCCTTACTGGCAAAATACTTCCTGACTTTAGGAACAAAGCACTGATAGAGAGTGAATCCAGAGAAAGGGTTCTCACTGGCCAGGCCTTCTTGTTGTACAACCAAAAGACTAGCAGCTAATGTCTATCTTTTTCCTTCAAGGCTCGGGGTGAGCAGATTTATAGATAAGGGCAGTCTTGATCACAGATCCAACTGCACTTGCACAAAACATTAGAGTTTTGCCTATCGCTTCCTGCCTTACAGCCCTCTCTTCCTTGCTAATAAATGTCCTTTGTGGCTTCCCCCCCCCCCCCCCCCAAGAATAAGCACTATCATCTGCATTAAAAACCTCTTTAGGCAGATATCCCTTCTCCTCAATGATTCTCTTAATGCTGTGTGGGAACTTGGCCACTGCCTCTTGGTGGGAAGAAGCTGCTCCTCCTCTTGTCTTGACTTTTTTATTTTTTTGCAGTTTTTGGTCGGGGCTGGTTTTGAACCTACCACCTCTGGTATATGGGGCTGGCGCCCTATTCCTTTGAGCCACAGGCGCCACCCATTGTCTTGACATTTTTAAAACCAGATCTTTCTCTAAAACTATCAAACCATCCTTTGCTGGTATTAAATTCTCCAATTTTAGATCCTTCATCATTGTCTTACTTTAAGTTGCCATATAATAACTTTGTTTTTTCTCAAATCATATGAGAGTCCACAGGTATACCTTTCCTACAGCAAGGCTGCAACCATATAACCCTGCATATAGACACACATTTAATAAGAGATAAAAAGGTGTTTTGTAAAAAGTGTAAGGTGTCCACGCCTGCTGCTGCAGCTGTAGCAATAATTTCAAAGATTTCCTTTTCATTAATCTTGAAATGGTAGACAGCTACAACTACAGATCGCAATGTATCACACATCACCTTTTTCCTGTATTGTTATGACTTTTCTCTGCTTCTTAGGAGCACTTCCAGTATCAAGAGTAGCACTTTGTACGGGTCCCAAGGTGCCATTCAAAGTTTAAGTTATTGCACTAAACATAAAAAACACACAAGAAATGCAAGAGGCCATCTTTTATTGCATTGGACAGTTTGCTAGAGATGAACTACTCACTTGGAGATGATTGGTGTCAGTTTTAAGTAGATACCTCTGTTGAGCTCACTGCTGAGTAACAGGAGATGGCTATGAAACTATTACAGTATGTACTACTGTTAATTTTATACAGTTATGATTTAATACAGCATCCTTGGGTTTGTTCACATTTCTCTCAACTACAAATGGCACCAGGTATGATCTGCAATGTAATGCGTGTAAGTTTTTTTTGAGACAGGGGCCTCAAGCTGTCCCCCTGGATAGAGTGCCGTGGCATCACAGCTCACAGCAACCTCCAACTCCTAGGCTCAAGTGAGTCTCCTGCCTCAGCCTCCAGAGTAGCTGTGACCACAGGCACCCACCACAACACCCGGCTATTTTTTGGTTGCAGCCATCACTGTTGTTTGGCGGGCCAGGCTAGATTTGAACCTGCCACCTTAGGTGTACGTGGCTGGTGCCTTAGCCACTTGAGCCACAGGCGTCAAGCCGCGTGTAAGTTTTAATAAATTTTAGCTCTTTACAATAGACTTGCGTATATTTTATAGTGGTAAATGATAAACATAGACTAGCCTCTATCTACATATATTTTGTGTTCATGGCATAACTTTTTCCATATTTCTAGGCTTCCTAGCTTTTGAGTTTTTCCAAATGGGGCTAAATCTCAAAAAAATTTTTCAATATATTTATCAAGAAAATTCCACATACATGTGGACCCATGCTGTTCAAACCAGTGTTGTTCAAGTGACAACTGTATTTATTGATACTATGCGCTCTACTGGCTTATTCAAAAACTACCTTTACATGTATTTGGGGACAAAATAAAATTATAATGTAATATATACATACCAGACTTCATGGAAAGTGAAGGCTCTATGGAAAATAATTCCAATTGTTTTCAGCACTAACAGTAGTTACTGCCCCAAAGGGAGCAGAACTCTTCCCAATCATTAAAGGAGACTAACATGTAAATAAAACGCACAGAAAGAACAAAAGGCCATCTTATCACTAATTTGTAAAATATCCCTGTTGGTAGTGCTCTTATTACACCTGAGAAACTATCTGAACGCCAGTGTTAGACTCAGGATACTGCCATGAAGATTAGATAAGACAGGGCAACTAAAAGCTGTGATATTGGCAGATAAAGTCTGAAACTCTAAGAAATCAAAAGAAGATTGCAGAATGAAAACTAGGAAACAAAACTGAGAATCATTCTGAAAGCTAAGGTGAGCAAGCTTTTAATATTGTCAGTCTACGTGCGGTTTATGAAAAGAGCCTGAGGGAACACAATTTTATTCCTTCTGAAGAAAATGTTATTAAAAGGGAAACTGGAAAAGGGGAAGAAATCAGAGATAGACAGCAAAAGGAAATATTGTAAATTTATCTTGGCTTAATCTTTGTCAATTGAGACCACAGGTCCTTTAAAATTCCTTATTTATGAAGTGATAAATATTGATGATATCTCATTTCTTACAATCTGACAAAAAGAAGTTGTGGAATTCTGGGCCCACGTGACTGAAGTACTCTTTTATGGAATTTTGCTTCCACATATCAGTCCTTACAAGGTACTCTTGATTTGATTTGGGGCGTGGAGGGGATTGCCTCAAGAGAACAAATTCTGTATCAGGATATATGTAAATAAGTGCCACTGCCCTGTAAGGACATAGTCAGAAGGGAAAGGAACAAGACATGGGCCCTTCCACTAAAGTGTTTTCTACTTTATATGAGCCAAGACAGTACACAAACCAACTGCAATGCCAAACAGTAAAACCAATGCCACATGAGCAGTGTGAACAAAGTGCCACCTAAAAAATGTTACCAGACAACAAAGATCCCTTCTGGCTGGGTGCTGATGCTAGCATTCCCTGAGAAGGCAGGATGAGAGCTGTGACCAAGAAAGACTCACAGGATACCTAGAGGTAAAATATGGTCATGAGCAAAAGTGTGGCGGGTGAAGTTAAGTCAAGTTCATTAATCCAAATGCTCAAAGATGAGCAGGTGGAAAAAGAACTGCTCTATGGGCCAGGTGCGATGGCTCACACTTGTAACCTATCTGGGAGGCCAAGACCAGTGGATTGCTTGAGCTCTGGAGTTTGAGACCAGTCTGAGCAAGAATTAGACCCCTTCTCTACTAAAAATAGAAAAACTAGCCAGGCATCACAGCAGCCGCCTGTAGTCACAGCTATTCGGGAAGCTGAGGCAAAAGTGATTGCTTGAGTCCCCAACAGACTGAGGTTGCTATGAGCTATGTTAACACCACGTCACTCTACCCAGGGTGACAGAGCAAGACTCTGTCTTTTAAAAAAAGAAAAAAAAGAACTGCTCTATGAAAAATGCAGCATGGAAAAATATTTCCAAGAGTAAAGATTATCAAGAGATCTCATTTGGTAGACTTGAAAAAAAAACAAAAACAAATAAATTCTTCTTTGCAGAGAGTAAGTCAGTTGGGATTCTGTCTAAATGTTAAGGGTGGTACTTGACCAGCTGCCGGTTCTCAAAATTACTCCCTAGAAATCTGGAACACCAACAAATGAAATCTATTTTCACTGAAAGGGATCTCTTAAGCTTTATATCCTGTTGTTTATTTGCCTGATGTCTTAGAGTGAAATTTTTACAGTTGGGACTGCGTATTTCTCTAAGTTGGGACTATCCTAAAGACGTCAAAGACTCTTATTTACTTTAAGTAAATGAACGGTCCACACATCACACTTTCTTTCTTTTTTTTTTAATTTTTTGTTTTTGAGACAGAGTCTCACTATATACCCTCAGTATAGTACTACAGCGTCACAGTTCATATCAACCTCAAATGCTTGGGCTTAAGCGATTCTTTTAACTCAGTCTCCCAAGTAGCTGGGACTACAGGTGCCGACCACAACACCCAGTATTTTTCTGTTGCCATTGTCATTGTTGCTTAGCTGGCCCAGGCTGGGTTTGAACCCACCAGCCTCAGTGTATGTGTCCAGCGCTGTAACCACATCACACTTTCTAATAAGGAAAGGACAGTAACTCATAAGGTAAGCCTCTCAATCAGGTCATTCCAAATGAACCTCCTAATTAAAAACATCAAAGTACCATGCAGTCAATGATCGACACATCTGGTATCAGAGTACCCATAAAACTGGCCAGAAATAGAGCCCCTGTGGAAACCTCCAGACACAAGTGTCTGAAAATCAAAAAAAGGATGACCCAAAAGATGCAATAAAAAAGAAAAAAAAAGAAAGCACACCATAAATACATTTTGTTTTTTAACAGACTAATACAGCACAGATTACTAGGTTAACTCTTCCCAAGACTGCTACTTTTTCCATAAATAATACAAAGAAAGGAAATACACAAAAACCAACTTTAAAGTTACATGCTTGAAACACTATCTCATGCATAGTTTATAGGATTAAGTCTCATTCCCCATGAATCCTTCCATTTTAAAGCAACGAGGTCAAGAATATTCAGGTTTTCAACATTTCAACCTTTAATATGCATGGAGCATTTTAGAAGCTGGAGCTGAGGGGCAACAGCCAGAATTGGTGCAGTTCTGTTTCAGAAACTTCTGCTGAGCCCCTGCTCTGTGCAGCCCAAGGCCTCCTATGGAGACAGGGCCATCTTATTTTTTCACAGTCTAGCAAAGAGGACGTGTTAACCCATCAATGACCTCAAGAAAACACATGTATGTTTCTAGTGCTAAACAACCTAATAAAAAGTAAGCAAATAAAGTATGTCAAAATTATACTTACACTTCCAGCCCAAACTTCTGGCCATCTCCCTGCCAGTTTATAGTAGACATACACAGAGTCACCTTTTTTAAAATTCACAAAACGACAATCCGGACCTGTGAAATCTTCTAGAGCCTCACCCCGGTACATTAACACTGTATATAGAGAAAGAAAAAAAATAAAAAACCCAGATGTCAGGATTTAGCTTTCATAATTCATATTCATTTATCAAGAAATCCCACCATAAACAATAATCAAATTTTCATTCTCTGGAATCACTTTTAATTCATATGCTCAAAGTACCTAAAATCCTTTATCGGTATAAATCACAACATCCTCTGTAAATAGACAGGAGAAAGAGAAACCTTCCCCTTTTTTTGTGGATAATACTGAGAAACAAGAAGCAAATCTATAACCACACATGGCTATTCTCAAGCGGCTCTCTTGAAGCTCTGGGTTCTCTGTCTAACCTACTCCTCCTCCATCTTTTCTGTTTCACAATCATAAAAAGCTTCATTTTGCAATGGGTTAATTCAAACACAGAGGTAGTAGGGAACTGGGAAAAGCACCCAGGAACCCCTAAGGAGTCAATTAACATGAACTAGTCACTAAAAGGCACTACCTTTAAGTGGCTGGGACTGCTACTATGCAGCAGAAAACACTGTCAATTTCATTTGCAGCCAAGTTGTTCTCTCTGTACAGTATCTGGTTAAATTAAAGGGAAAGGATATCTATTGCACTCTATTATTGATCCAATCACATCACAAGGCAATATTTTCTCAAAGTAAATAATGTTGCCTGAATTCAACATTAGCAAGGTTGCAAAATATAAATACAGATTTATATTTTTCTATAAACAAAATCAAAAGTGGACATCTCAGGTAGCAGGGATCAAGCAAAGTGATGAAACTAGGTCAGTAGTTACCTTTATGCTTTTAAAATGCAGGACTTAAATCACACTAGATCTAGTACTGGTAGAAGCAGTATTTTTCTTTTCATGGACCAAATACACAGTTTCTGATGTAAGATGAAATGTACAATAAGTGCACTTAAATAGCAGAAACAAAGAAGAATGAAATGGAAATAACACTTTTTCCAAAAACCAGTTAGCAATAAAACATTACATTAAAGGCACATCTTTAAAAACATCTTTGAGGGGAAAAAACCCATAGATTTGGAGGGTATTTGTTTTCCAAAGCTAAAATCTGATTATTTTCAAACATGTCAGCCTTTTCATTTAGATATAATTGGGCGAGAAGAAGGTTGCAGGTGATGGGCAACTTAAGGTTGACGATTCTATCAGAATTGGAAATGGCAATGTTTCTCTTGCTCCCCCTTGAGAAGAGATCATTGAGGATTTATAATAATACATCAGATGACAACATAAGGCACACTGAGGAACAGCTGTCTTAGAAGCACACGGAGGCACCTTACATACAAACACCTTAATAAACACAAGAGACCCAAATCTTATTCCTGCTGTTGCCTGCTGGGTTTGGTTACATCTGTTTGGGCACACACCCTTTCTCAAGTTATGTTACAGCTCTGAGCTCTTCTAACACCATGTCTCAGTACTAGGAAAGCATCAGCTATGATTCTCTAGGTAACTTGTTTTGAGGAATCCAAGTAGGGCAGTGCTCAAAAGAATAAAGAATAGAAAATATTGTGCCATATCCAATGACAAATGGATAAATACCTGGTTTTGCTCCAAAAAACGAAGGGAATAATCATGGCAGTTGCTCCGCTTTTGCAGTGTTTATTTACATTACCCATTGGGTTGGTTACCTCCAGGAATCGCTTAACAGAAATTGGAGATTACCTCCTTTCTTCTCTTTAATGGTGTTGTATTGATACAAACGCTTCAAATCATAAAATTTGTTTTTGATAACAGCAATTTGGACATAAGTAGCTGAACTGTAGCTTCTAAGCCCTTTAAAATGTTTTTCTACATATTATTGCCTATAATTTATGAACAACCGTTTCCGTAGCGGTTCTACGTTACAAGGTTATTTGAGGCCCGCAGGAGACCATAAGAACGACCCTGGTGAGACAGACACATAGGAAGAGGTTCCAACAACACAAAAAGCTACCGCTAAGGCTAGTTTAGGCTTATGACACCCTTGGAGTATTTACTATTTTTACTGTAATAACCCTCTTCATGTGAGTCTGAAGATCTGTGCCCTCCCCACCGTCCACCTCCAATCCCAAACTTGGGAGAAATTCCGCTTCCTGCGCACAGAAGAGGCTGCCGATCCCAGGTGGCCGGTGCAGATCCTTGGCCTCTTTTCGAGAGCATAAGATCTTGGCCTTCTTGCTGCCCAGCCTGGCAGTTTGCAAGGAGGCTTCTAGGTACAAAAATGACAGGACTGAGGCAGAGTCCGAGCCGAGACCTCGGAACACGCTGCGTGCTTGGACTCCGGGCTCGTCCCAAACCTAAACTCCAGCCCCTGTTCAAAAGGGAGTATGAAGCCAAATCCCAGTGAGGCAGAAGGGCAAAGGGGCAGCGCAGCGAGCTTTCTGGAGGAGCCCCACCGCCGAGCTGCCACGGGAAAACGCCCACCCAGCCCTTAGCGCATTTGCCCGGGTACTGCACCCATCGCTGTCCCCGTGGCGGGGGCAGGAAAGAGCTCGGCTGCAGCGTGGGGAGCCTACAGTGCGCGGCGCGCAACCACATCTACCTCGGGAGCTGAGCGGGTCAAGTGAGGGGGGACGCTGTGAGTGGTCCCTGGGGAAACCGGGCGCCACCCCAACAAGTAGCTCGCCTCAGCACTGGGAAAATAAAATGCTGGCAACAAGTGGGAGAGGTGCTGCCCTCCCAGGATCCGGGCGGCTGGCCCGGGCGCTGGCACTGCCGCAGGGGACAGACGCAGGGACCCGGGGCTACCCCAGCCCCGCGCTCGCCCGCCCGGCTGCGACCCCCACCAGGCCGGCCCGCCGGGCTGCCGAGCTCCTGCTCCCCGCAAGCCCGGGCGGCGCCGCGGCGGAGCCCCCGAGGCCGGCCGCTCGGCCCGCTGGCGCACTCACTGCTGCATTCGTCGTCCGCGCAGAGTTTGTGCTCTGAGAAGCGCCGGCCGGCGCCCGGGTCCTGCTGGCCCGGCACCCGCCAGGGCGCCCCGACCACGAGCAGCCAGAAGAGCAGCCCCGGCGCCGCAGCCATGTTGTGGTCAAGCCGGGAGGCGGTGACGCGGAGAAGGAGGCCGGGGCGGGCGCCGCCGGGCGGTGACGTGGGCGGAGCGCAGGGCGCGGGCGGGAGGCGGGGCGCGGAGGGGCGGCGCCCGCCCAGCTCCGAGCCGCTCCCGGCTGACACGTCAGCTGGGCCTCGGGGAGGATGCAGGGGGACCTCGAGAAGGAGGAGAAGACCCGGAGCTCCTCCTTCCTCCCGGGGCCTTCTCCTCCGGTCGCTGCCTTGGCAACCGGGACTCTATATCTTCTCCCTCGTCCAATCGCTTCCCTTTGCAGTCGAACCTCCGCGTGATTCCATTTGCTCATCGCTCTCTGTGTACTTGGGTCCCTAACCCTGCGCCATCCCAACAAGTCCCTTCTGGCGCCTTCTCGCAGCTTCTGATTTCTGATGCATCCTTAACCATCCCACCCACGTCGCTCCCCGCTTCCTGTTCTTGGTGTGGTACCTCGTTTTACGAACTACCAAATCTCAACCACAATTTGCCGCTGTTAGTCTCTGATTCCAGATTTCCAGCCCTTCATACTCGCAGGGGTTCCATAATCCCACTCGATTAGGAAGAGGGGAGATGAGCGGAATGGTGGGTTGAGGATGTAGAGTAGAGGCAGTGGGCTGCTTGGTTTTTAAGAGAGAAGGAGAGGAAATACAGGTAGATACTGATCCTTGGACTGATATCTTGAGATTCCTAAATTTATATCCATAGGGAAGAAGTAATTTAATCCAACACAAATGTGATGAGCTTCCATTTTATGCTACCATGTCATGCCAGACACTGGATAAAGCACTAATGTGGTGTGGGAGAGGATGGGAGTCAAAAGACAGGTGACCCTTACGTAAAGAAGTCTACAACTTAGCGGAAACTGACATAAAAATGACTAAAGAATGAATGTAAGAATATAGAAAGCCAATAATAGCAGCTAATATTTACTGAGTGCTTTCTTTATGCCTAGTCTTCTTCCAAGGCCTTTATACATATCAATTCATTTCAATCTTCACTACAGTAGCACCTCCGAGTACTATTGTAGTGAAAACCACTATTATGATCCTCATTTAAGAAAGGAGTAAATTAAGGCATTCACATACCTCATAAGTGATGGAGCTGAGATTCAAACCCGGGAAGTACCCTCTCTTTTAATCACAATTTCCATCAAGCATCAAATAATTTTTGTACTTTCTTTCTGGCTGGGGAGAAAAATACCATTGAAATCATAATATAATTGAATTATCTTTATGTGAAATTTTTTTGTTTCAAAAAGGGCACAATCAGGTTAGCCCAGGGAAAAGTGGCTGCAATGCTCTGGTCCTAGTTGGAGCACTTTGCATTTGCCCAGAGGCTTCTCAGTGTAGTCTCTGCTAAGGTTATTCATTAAAACCTGGAACAGCAAACTCATTAGTTGGTTTCCCAAATTAATTCTTTAAAAGCAAGAGGAAAGAATGTGGCCCATCTATATAATCCATAATTTTGAATAAAAAGGTGAGAGATGCTCACAAATTTTTGCCTGCAGGGCCATGAGAGGTCCCATTGGTCCAGTGTTCTCCAATGCTGTCTGGAGAGAATCTACTATGGTAAAGTCATGGACAGGCATTCTCCATCCAAGTCCTGATGCCATTCATTCATTTCTTTTCTGTGTATTAATGTGTTTTAAAATCTTAGGAGGTGTGTCTAAGAGGCATCTCTTAACTTAATATGTGAAAACCAAACTCCTTATTTTTTTTCCTCTCAAACTCTGCTTTTTTTAGGCTTCCCCATCTTAATTAGGAATAAGAATGACAATTTGATTCCTGTCTTCTGAATGCTGAAGCCAAAAGTTCATCCCCCAAACCATCCTTCACCTCTTTTCTCTCACATCCCAACTCTGATCCACCAATCTCATATCTTTAACAGCTTTATTGAAGTATAACTGACCTACAATAAGATGCATACTTAAGGTGTACAATTTGATATTTTGACACATGTATGCACCCATGAGACTATCACTATGATCAAGATAATTAATGTATCCCATATCTCCACCAGAAACAAAATCTGGAATATACAGAGAATGCCCCCAAAATGCATACCTATTTTAAGAAAGGAACAAAAACTGTATTAAAATTGTAATACTCAAGTCATGTTGACTTCTGCACTTACAAGAGGTGCTCAAATGTGATTTGTATTCATCTTTTGTTATTGAATATTTGTAATATTGGATACAATACAGTTTTCACCTACTTTTTTTGGCACACTCTGTATTTATTGTTGAATGAAGGCATGTTTGTTGTGGAGGGAGTGAATGAAGTAGCAATATGCTTTTTTACTATATGCCACCAGATCTTAAAGCAGATAATAAAAAGTGACTTTAATTTTTCTTGTTTCTACTTAGACTAGAATCAATAATAATTTACTGGTGGAAAAAGCAAAATTTCAAAATAGTATGATTATTACTTTCCTTATATTTACCTTGACTAGTATTCAGATAACCTTTGTTTTCTTTGTTTGTTTGTTTGGTTGGGTTTTTTTAGAGACAGAGTCTCACTTTGTTGCCCTCAGTAGAGTGCTGTGGAATCACAGCTCCCAGCAACTTTCAACTCCTGGGCTTAGGCGATTCTCTTGTCTCAGCCTCCCCAGTAGCTGGGACTACAGGCGTCCACCACAATGCCCAGCTGTTTTTTTGTTGCAGTTTGGCTGGGGCCGGGTTCAAACCCACCACCCTTGGTATAGGGGGCTGGCAACCTACTCACTGAGCCACAGGCGCCGCCCCAGATATACTTTTATAGGAAAGTCCAGAGCTCTTAATTACTGGCTGCCTACTTTTGTAGATTTTCTGGGATTTTGATTTATCTGCATTCTTTTTTTTTTTTTAATTTTCAGTTTAATATGAGGGTACAAATGATTAGGTTACCTTGTCTGTGTTTGTTAGGTAAAGTCCATGCTGTAGTTGAGTCTTTCACTGAAGAGAAGTGTGAGCATCAACACAGTTATATACCGATATTCAAGATGCTATAGGAAAGCATGTAAAAAAGAAGCAAGAAGGATTTAAAAACGATCTAACTCAAACTTAGAGAGGTGAAAAAACCCAGTGGCTGCAAAATACACTGGATGGGATTAACAGCAGATTGGACACTGCAGAAGGAAATGCTACTGAGTTTGAAGATGTAGTGATATCAACTCTCAAAAATAAACACATAGAGAAAAGGTACTGAAGGACACAAACAGGGCATCAGTATGCACAACCTTCAACAACCCAATACACATGTGACTTGAGTCCCTGAAAGAGATAAAGAAAACATATTTGAATAAATAATGAATGAAAGTGTTCCAAATTTGATGAAAATTCAGATTCAATAAGCTCAATGAACCCTAAATATAAGAAATATGAAGACAATGACACCAATGCACATCACATTTTTAAAAACCAGTGGTAAGGAAAAAAACTTGAAAAGCATCTAGACCCTAGATCAGCGATTTTCAACTAGTGTGCCATGGCATACTGATGTGCTCTGAAAAATTTTAAAGATTCTTAATTCAATTACCTTTGAAAGAAGTTCAAAGTACAAAAAAGTTCAAAGCATATTCTTTTTTTACTCCTTTTTTTTGATCAGCATAATTTAAGTGTGCTACAGAAGTTTAACTATAGGTTCAAGTGTGCCAGGAGATAAGAAAGTTTGAAAAACACTGGTCTAGATTCTAGAGAAAACATATACAATATGCACAGAAGAACACAGATAAAATGACAGGAGACGTCTTTCCAGAAACATGCAAGTGAGAAGACAATAGATCAATATTTTTAAAGTTCAGAAAGAAAAATTTTTTAAATGGACACCTTAGATTTGTACCCCAAATGAAAATATTTTTCAAAGATGAGTGAAGTCTTTTTAACAAATGGAGCTAGGTCATCTGGATATCCACATGCAAAATAATTAGATTGAACCCTACCTCATGCTACATTAAAAAAATTATCTTAAAATAGATCACAAATCTAAATGCAAGAGCTAAAACCATAAAACTCTTAGGAGAAATAGAGGGGTTAGCCTGGAAGCAGGCAATGATGTCCTAAATGTGACACGAAAAGTACAAAAAATAACATCAAGAAAAGAAAAAAGATTATAAATTGGACTTCATCAATATAAAACTTCTGTGCTTCAAAGGGCACCATTAAGAAAACGGAGAGACAGTCACACAGAACAGAAGAAAATATTTGCAATTCATATATTTGGTAGGAACTTGTATCCAGAATATGTAAGGACTCTTACAACTCATTAATAAAAAAGACAAATAACTCATTTAGAAAACAGACAAAGGATTTTAGTGGATATCTCTCCAAAGAAAATGTCCAGTAGTAAAGCATACTCAGCATCATTAGCTAGCAGAGAAGTGTAATTCAGAATCACAAACGAGGTTCTTCTTCATACCCACTAGGACAGCTATAATTAAAAAGATAATAACAAGTGTTGGCAAGTATGTGGAGAAATGGGAACTGCTATACAGTGCTAGTAGGAGTATCAAATGGTACAGCTACTTTGGAAAATAGTCTGGAAGTTCCTCAAGAGTTTAAACATACAGTTATCATATTATGCAATAATTCCACTCCCAGGTAGATAACCAAGAGCAATGAAAACATACCTCTATACAAAATTTGGTCCACAAACGCTCATTACAGCATTATGCATAATAGAAAAAAATGGAAATAATGCAAGTGTCCATCCAACTGAAGAATCAACAGATAAATTGTGGTCTATCAATATGATGACAATACAAAAGAAATGAAATAATGATACATACTACAATATGCACGTCCCATGAAAACATTATGGTAAACAAAAGTACTTGCCAGAAAATACTACATATTGTATGGTTCCATTTAGATAAAAATTCCAGAATGGACACATCTGTAATCACAGAAAGTAGTATTCCCAGGGCCACTGGAGATGGAAACCGGATAGTGACAGATAAAGCATACAGAGTTTCTCTCTTTGGGGTGACTATAGTGATGACTGTATAACTCTATG